AAATCAATCTATTAAAAAATTTGTCCCTGTTGTTCTGGATTAATAAAACTATAGATCAAATGTAGTGCATAAAAATTGATTACATTTGAAGGTCAATCCCAAATTTGAATGTGGATCAATTATTAGATGTTGAAAAATTTCTTTATATAAGATGGTAATTGGTTACACTGGCAAGTGTCCTGAGAAATATTTTTAGGGGTGAGATTTATTCACATAAGTATACAGATGCACACACTTACAAAGAAAATATAGTAAAATATTGACTGCCTGTGCAGTTTGCCTCAGGCATGCCCAAGGGAGTGTTCCCTACAAATAACCAAATTAGAAGTAGTCTGGATCACTGAAGTTGGTTAAATAAATCACACAATGGACAATTGCTGAAAATTCTGATAGACAAGCTATAGCATTGGAAGTTTTTTTGGAAAAAGAAGAAAGCCAGATGGTATTTGTATGACCCAAGTTGAAAGGCTAATTCAAATGAGACCTCTGGGCCCTCTCTGGTGGCGCAACAGGTTCAAAGCACAGCGCTATGAGACTATCAACAGCCACTGCAGCACGAGTTTGATCCCTGGCCAGGGAGGTGACCACATGGTGTGGCAGACCTCTCCTGACCCACCCGCTGCTCCCCTCAGCAGTATATTTCAGTCACCCAAGGTAACATAGCAAGCCGGAGAGCTAGTGTTCACATTGTCAGCTTTCAGATCTGCAGAGCCGTTCACTGCATCAAACCACGTAGAGTATTATTCCTTTGGGAGTGCCAAGATGACAGACCAGACGGCTTTCAGAGTCAGTGTGAACATTCTGCAAATCTACTTCACAACTGAAGCATCTAGAAAGGAAGGGCTCAGGAGGAATGAAACAAAAGGTGAGAGCATAGTGGACTGTGGCGATGGACTCTGGGTGACCTGGTTGCAAGCGGACTATGTGGCAATATGGGGTGGTGGCAGTGGGTGAAATCCTGTCATTCAAAAATATCAACAATTCCATGTATGGCTATGTACTGCAATGCTACTTCAGTAAAAAAAAAATTCAAAGGGGGCTCCCTTGTGGCGCAAGGGGTTAAAACACCGCACTATGAAGTTCTCTGAAGCCACTGTGGAGCAAGTTTGATCCCCAGACAGGAATCTGACCCACATGGCGCTGCAGACAGCTCTAGACCTGCCCGCTGCTCCCCTCATTAGTGTACTTTGTCAACCTGCCTGTTCTGCTCCCCACTCTGTCTGGTGAATCCTCTCACCCACACCTCTGGCCTGCACCCCAGTTCTATAAGCATAAAAAAATCTTTAATAATTTAAAGAAGACATTTAAAATTTTTTTTTTAAAAAAAGGTTTTCCCAAAAAAAAAAAAAAGGTTTTCCTGGGCTAAGCAGACAGTGTAAAGGACCCAGTACTAGACAAGATAACAAGGAACGGGGGGCACACCTAGCAATGGAGCTGGAGAAGCAGGGGGGCGGGCGGGCTGCAGATCCTGCAGGGTCTATTGGGTCACTGGAGACTGTACTGGACAGAAGACTTTCACCATCTAGCCCCCTCTCCCAAAGACATCCCCAGACTAATGCCTGAACTTTGTGAGTGTATACCCACCTGGATACTCAGGGAGGACTATGTGAAAGAACAAAGGATGAGAAAGCCAGTGGTTACTATGCAAAGATTCCACGTGGCTGGCGGTGGCTCAGAGTTGCAGCCGCGTGGAGGAGGCTAATTTGTATGCGATTAAGAGGTTTAAGACAAACTGAGTAAAGAGATGAGTGACCCTCTCCGCCCACTCGGATCTAAAGGCACATCATACTGGGAACAGAGGCCCAGAGCTCCTTGCAACTCTCCTGGCTACCGAGCAACAGTTAACTCCGTGCAGCAGTTTTACAAATAACTTTATTCAGGTAAAATGAAAGCATGGATTCCACTCCCACGATTTCTCTAAATTTTTATTAATTTTTTTTTTTTACAGCTTGATCCTCGTGAAAAGGAAAATTTGAAGATGAACAAGTCAATTACATGTGTGTGTGTGTTTTTAAACAGCAATTAATCCTGGTTACAGAGAACAACAAACAAAAGATCTGTGGCACATTATCTTTGGAGAGATCTTTTGTAAATTTTTCCTCTAAAAAAAGAAAACAGGCAAATTCTCACAGATCAAGTATGTCTCTTTCAAAGGACTATACAAGGCAGCTAAATTTTATTCACAAAAGCCCCAAGTTCAGTTCCACTGCTGAGTAGGTAAAATGCACGGAGTCCCCGTTATTAGTCTGCGTCACACATGTTCCCATGGGGAGCATCACTGCTTCCCTACCCTACGCACAAAACCAAAACCACTGTGTGGACGAGAAAGCTGGCACCTTATTCCACAGTTAACAAAAATTCATATTATTTTATGATAGACCAGTGATTTTCATTTATCAACTGGACAATTTATTCCTTTTTAAAGCAATCTTAATAATACCAAGGTCTGACTCTCCTCTAAAGTTATAAGAAAGCAAAAAATATATAATATAATATAATATATAATGGTAATAAATAAAAAAAGGCAACCCTGCTCAGGTATCATCCAAAACATGATCACATTCAGGAAAAAAAAATTAAAAGATTTGAGACACATGTGTATCCACACGCACACACAGAAACACAGACACACAGACAATATGAACAGTGTATACTTGATATCTGAGGGGGCATGTGCAGTAATTTTAACAATACAAGTTGACAGCCTGAACAAGAGGCGAAGGTAATACTGCCTGTGTTAAGCAAGCATCGCTTAAACATCTACTTTTAAGCAAAAAGCAAGTTATCTTCCTTCGGTCAGCCCGTGCTGGTGGAGGCAAGAGGCCGGCCTGCTGCCAGTGGTCTCATGCCCTCGTCCAGCCAGGTCCATCTAGTCCACCTACAGGCTCACAGGGAGTAGACTGTTTCCCTCCTGCCCTCTTGGGAAGAGGAAAAGACATCTCTCTACCCAACATCGTGCCCTCTGCTCTCTGACATGGATATGCACACAGTGAGATTAGCCCCCAGACAACAGGACATTTACAGCTATCTTAAGAAAGAAGGCAGATGGTACCTGTCAGCTCATCCCAAGTAAGAACTAAACACAGCCAGTGGCCACACAACTCACTCCCAGTCACTGAGAAACCAAAAAGACGGATGTTGAGGTTTACACAGTAGAAACACCTTGTAATGTTCGAAGGAAAATCCCCCATTCCATGTTGGGAGACTCTGCCACTCTGACTCCCACAAACAAATGACAAAAGGTAAAGGCACAGGAAATATCTTACACCAGCTCATCCTAACAGGACCACAGTCAAACAGAAGAGGAAGCTGTTGGAGAAAGAAGACAAGGAGCAAATATCGCCACAGTCCTGACACCCTCCTCAGCCACTGGTAACTCATTCACCAAGGGAGCAAATCTCCAAGGTTATGTTTTTAAAAGAAGCCCAAATAGTCTTGCAAATTTAAATACTGTTTATCAATGGTAAAGAGTGTAATAGGTGAAGTGGTAGAGTTTTTCAAATATTTTGTGTAGTGTCTGGAAATATAAATTCCTCAGAAAAAAACAGAATCTGCAGTGAGAGGTAGGGAATCAACACTTACTTAATTCATTTACCTTCAAATGTACAAATACATCGCAAACTTCATGAAGCAGAAAAGCCAAAAATAGCAAGACCAACAAAACGTCTCTTAAAGCCATGGCAGAGTAAACAGAGCACTATCCCCAAATTAGCATTATTTCAAAATGAAGTTTGGTCAACAAAGGCGCAGTAAATATATCCAATTCAACCAGCCTCTTAATGCTGCAAATACACAAACCTCTTGCAAATCAGAGAAAGTTCTGTTCATTTTGGAGGGTACAATGGCTTCTTTTTGCTTCTAAGGTTATTGAACAGGAATCATAATAAAATAGTTAAGCTGTTCCTGATCCTACTAACATGAACATTTAAGGTACCAATTAAGGCAAGTTTTCAGCCAAAAATGGATGGTTTGCTGTAAGATCTGGAATTAGAGGACTGAACAGGGAGATAAGAATGGTTCGATTTGTCAAGAAAATAGAAAAACATTTTGGTCAGAATGGATCTATAAGATAAAGGTCCTTTTGTGCAAAGAAATCAGACGCCTTTCCCATCGAGTATTTGGTTAAGTCCTGACACAAGATAAGTTGTTCTCCTGTGGTGGCTCTCGTGCTGGCAACACGCCTGCTGGACCCCCAACATACCACCCCAGCATGTGGCCTGCATCTCACATCTTAACCCAGTGAAATCTGGTACTTTTTATTGAGTGTTTTTCAATGCTCACCAGAAACCCTAGTCTGGCCAAAATCTCAAGGTTAGTGATTCACATTTTAATTATGTCCAGGAAGGACAAAAATACCCAACATTTTAAGAGAGACAGCGTTCTCCCATTTCTTAGTAAAGGCATTCATACACACAAAACTGTCGTGCCAGAGGAAGAGCCTACACTCAATTTTCACTCCTTATGATATTCTGTATCTGTCCCACTGTGAAACCTGTACTGCTAGAAGTTCCTAGAAGAACTTCACATATCCAGACTTCATGTCATAATCTAGTCCTTTCAATGATCTCAGTATACATTTTGCCTTGGAGAATTTAAGTATGAAATGAAAAGTGCAAATGACATGAAATATCCTTAGATTTCTATCCCCAAAGGGAATAGCAAATGACCGTGTGAACATTAAAAATTCACCAGCCGTTGCCTTTCACATGCTTTTTCTTAAAAAGAGCCATTGGGAACTTTCTTTTTGGTACAATGCATGTTGAAGTAAGAATGTGAAATATTACAAGTTCAAGACAGAATGAACTGATCTCTGCAAGTCCACTGGTTCTTCATGGGACAAATAAAATTTTGCTAGAGAGGACAGGAAAAAAAGAAAACACACAGACTAAGGCCACTGAAAAGGCAATCGGTTCTTTCAGAATTGGCTGAGAAACTGCCTCGGAAATGTCTTCAGTGAAGGGAGCACCAGGCACACTGGCAGAACATGCACTGCACCCCGCCCCCCCACCCCAATCTGCATAGATCAGAACTCATCCTAAAGAATATTACCCTTTGAAACACTGTCTTGGGGAGTTGTGAGGTGAAGGGAAGGCAACAAGTTAAGAAGAAAACAAGATGTTAAATGTCACATAAGCCTCACCTTTGTCTCCCACGTGAGAGGGACATGCAGCGCCATGGAAGTGGCACCATCAGGCAGCTGTGTTCACTGAGCATCTACTAGTTTAAGAAGCATCATGGCTTTGCTTTAGACCACCAATAAATGAAAACAGTTCATCAAGAGCATACATTGAGTTCTTATTCACATATTACTGTGGTAATTCTCTCTGCTTTAACCTAAATGTGAGGAACAGACCTCTGATCTAGCTATGGATAGACAACAAAAGAACAGGCTGGGTAAGACACTACAGAACAGCATCATAAAAACACTGTGTGCTTTCTATATTGACCACATCACCAAAGAGTTCTTACATTCAGATGGATCTTAGATCGGCATTATAAATAGAGATGGTAATACCTTCTTTGCTAATAAATAAATATGAAAATGTCACATGCTTGGGAGGAATCAACATATAGAAGGGAAAAAAGAAAGGGTGGGCAGGAACAAAAACCAACTATAGAGATAACACTCATGCTTTGATTTTAGTACATATGCAAGTTCTTTCTAAAAGGGATTAAAAAATAATTGGCATTTAAAGAACACTGCACTCAAAGTAATGCTCCAATAATAACCTCCAACATTTCAGTGAAAAGAAAGATCTGTGCTTTATGGATATGTGGGAATTCTGATTGGGTTCTCCATTTTAGGTCACTCAAAAATGAACTTGGTTTAATATTATCTAATATGGCAATAGCAACATAGGAAAGCCCACAGTTCCTCTTCAATCTAATTAAATCTAGTTGATTGAGAATACTCGGGAGTGAAGGCAAGTGGTGACTTTTTTTTTTTAAATCTAATTAAACACCCCATATCTCCACATTCTCTCAGGGAGTTATTTTCCCCTAGACAATCAAGGACTCTGAAAGTCTAGTTTTACTATAAATATAAAATAATTTGTAGCAGAAAAATATAGCCTCTCTAAGAAGTAAATTTCATTTCTTCTTGTTGTTCACTGACAAAACTCTAAATTGGTAAAACACAGGAGTTACCCAAAAACTGCAGACCACAGGGTCAGCACCTCAAATTCCAGCGCGACTTAAACAAAAACTAAAAAGCACTTTAGCCATCTGGTCTGGTATAAATGTTGGTTCCCTTCTTCCCTAGGCAGGAAATTCAGAACACAGTCAGTGGCGACTGCCTTCCATGGAAGCAGGGCGGAAGCGGCTGCGCCACAGCACAGCCTCGTTCCACGCGGAGACCTCGCGGCCGCTCCCTCGCAGCAAGCTGAAGTCTGACAGCGAGAGTGAACCGTGCTCCAGGCTGTGGAAGTCACCTTTAATTTTATAAATTATGACAATACTTGGTATTATCAAAACCACTGTTCACTGGCAGGAAGTGGGTACAGTGGAGTCCTTCAGAACTTGTTTTATAGATGAGTGTTACAATTTATTAAACAAAATACTTCCCCCCAAACTTAAAATTAAGGGAAAAAAAATCAATTCACAAAATCCTACACCAAAATTCATTATTAAAATTTTTTTCCTTCGGGAATGTGGCTACTGAGATGAAGTGGATTTGCTTTTAAAGTTGAATTTGCTTCGCATTTCATCTGTGACTTACATCCTGCTGGTTAAAAAACTACGGAAATGTTTCTAGACCATTCATACGTCCACTTAGGCTACATTGCACTTCTGTCCTTTTGTTAGGAAAGGCAAGAGCATCTGTGAGGCCAGTCTCCCCCTCTCTGCTTCTGCACAAACATCATGTCCAACCAATGATCACGTAACTCTTGAGAGTTTACGTGGACAAGTGTCCAGGTTATCTCAAGTTCTTATATTCTTGAGCGTGGTGTCCTGATGAAATAATGTGCAGAAAATTTCCCAAGGCATCAAACCAACTTGGGCCTCTGTTAAGGTGTTTTGGTTACTTGTGTTTTAGCCGCTGAAAACCCTGTCTTGTATAGTGCACCAGATCCATCAAACTGCTGTTGAGGGCCAAGGCACACACACTTGTGCTGAGTTGAGCAAAAAAATCTGCAAATAAACCAAAAAAACAAGACCAAATAAACACACCTGCACACACAAAATTAAAAAGGAAAACTGAGTTAAGTTTCTAGGAACTATATTCCAATAACACTTGTCTACATGTATCACAGCAAAAAATGATAATCTAAGAATCTGTTGATTCTCCACATCCCTCCACTCATACTAGAAGGGAAGGAATGGGCTTGTTTTAGTTTATTTTGGGGTTTTAAAGTTGACCCCATAATGTCAAGCACAGTGGATGGCACTAGGAAATACTCACTTTAACTTCCAGATCAATGAATGCATGAATGTAACATGTCAAAAGCATCATTAGCTTGCTAAGGAAGAAAATTCTAAAAGATTGAGGAAACCTAGTGGGTACAGCTAAGCTGGTTGCTCCTTCCCTACAAGTAGGAAGAAATAGGTAATGAAATTAAGCTGATATTTACATGTAAGTATTTACTTAATGGTCTGTGGAACTAACACCAAGTAGTTCCTCACAGTTCCAGCGCTTCAGCCTTGGCTTTCTTCAAGTGCCTTCTCCAACAAGTGTCATGAATGTTTACTGTGCCCTATTTCTTGTATTGAAAACTACCCATCTTAACATATTCTGAAAATAAACTCAGTATGTAGGTTATGTTACTGCACATCTCAAATTGGCATGCCTAGGGACAGCTAGTAATGTTCCTTCTTATTTGCCTTGATCCTTTGCTAGGATTTCAGTTCAAAATTAAGGCAGAACACTTTTGAGTGACAGTGCTTAAAGTATTTCTAATTTTATTTTGCTAAGATCTTACCCAGAAATCCAGTGCATGTCACAGAACTAAATAATTGCTAATAGATTTACGAAGGAGAAAACGTGACAAGACTAAATAGTAAAATGCACATTTTCTTTCCCCCAAAATGAACATAAAATACAAATCATCAACGCTGGTCCCTTCCGATTCCCATGCCCCAGTAATGCCACCATTGAGTCATTTACCTTTATTCTTTCTTGTAAGGAGTTCAGCCTGTTCCCAAAGTTCAAAGGCAGTAAGGACATGGGAAGTAATGGTGACATAGGAAGACGTCATGTTCTGGATAGTGACGGGGGTACTGATGGTGGTGGGCATCCCACTGCTCCCCACACTGCCAGCATTTGACTGGGACCCTATGGAGCCAGCAGGAGAAGGCATTGGAGAGAGAGGAGAGGGTGTGCCTGTGCTTCTGAGGACGGAAGGAAAGAGAACACTGGTTAATCACCTAAACCACCAGATTACAGATTTCCTGTTTCTGGAACTATAGTCCAAGTCACTAAGTTTCAGTGTAGACCAGCCAAAGTGACAATCACTTCTAGACACCCTATATAAAGTCAAAGAGATCCTCTTTGCTTTCATTACTTTGGTAATACAGTGTATAAAGCAGAGAAATAAGGTCACCAAATGAAAGAAGTAAACTGGCATTGAATCAGATTGGGCAATCTGGTCTCCAAATATGCTTTTCTATGCCATTTACCTAGGGTGCTCCCCCTGCCATGACTCCCCTCCTCTCCTACCCCCAGTTCCAACTTTTCCTAGTAATGGTAAGACAATACAGTGCTAATCTCACCTCCACGTCACCCACTCAGTAAACATTAACTGAGAAACTATTCTGCACTTGGTACTTTTCTAGACTGGACACATAGCATAGCACAGCTTGCTTTCTTCCAGAGGGCAGGGATCACTTCTTATTAATCTTATTATTCTCAGTACTTAGCACGCAGGTGCAAACAGTGGGATCTTGACAAATATTCACTGAATCAATACATATACGACAGCCTACAAGGAGATTGGGTAAGGAGATTGGGTAAGAATCAGAGGATTCTTAAACTTCTTGCCTATATACCTAGACATACAGGCTACCAAGTACCTTGAAGTGGGTCAAAAGAAAAACATGAGTGAAATCCCTTGGATATAAGAAGCAAGTGGACATAAAATGAGTTGCATGCAGAAGTGGGCTCATGATGTCGTTACATCAGCCCTTGGGCTAAATAAGCCCTAAGTGGTCACAGCAGAAGGTACATTTTGAAGGAGTCGAGTGGAAGCTCTGTGAGGGCAGGGGTTCCGGCTTGCTCTGTTTATTGCTGTTTATCTCCAGTACTAAAACACAGTCTCGAGGCAAGTAGGGAAGGAGTTACCTAAAATAATGTGACTAGCAATCTGTTAACTTAAAAGAGTTAACAGAGGCGGGAGTCATAAGAATTTTCAGAAGTAGGGAGTTAGTTTTCTAAGGCTTTCTTTAAGTCATCTGGGAATCTCTTTTGGATGTACTGAAAATAGGGCCATCTTCTAGGTGACAGACTTAAAATAGCAAAACCTATCAGAATTGGGAACTTTTCAAGGAGTATGGCTAAATTCTGGGGAAGAAAATGCTATCTTCATCTGAAGAACACTTACACAAGGGTTCTGTTTTTTCACTATTTTATGGCGTTTATGAACATTTCAGTTCATAAAAGTGGGGAATACAATTCAGCTAGAGATAATTGTCTTCTTTCTTAGAATCACTTATAAATCCTGGAACAGGTGGACACATACGGTTACAGAAAGTTCTTTTTCTTTTAATTTCCCTACTTAATTTTACCTATAAAGACATATTTTCAAATTTACACAAACAGGGTGCATAGTATTTTATCATGGATCAAACATCTTTCAAGTGCACAACCTGTTAATGTAGTTAGCATTATATTCTACCATGTCATTATACAAGAGTTTATTTAATCATTTTATTCCCAACATTTGGCTTGTTTCCAAAATCATGTTTTAAAAAAGTTACAATTAATAAACTTCTTTATAAATAAATCTTAGACTACATCTGAGATAGTTATGGCAAGTTTTAGTTAATTAAAAAAACATTAAGACGGTCTGTCTGACCTGTCAGGTAAAAAGCAGAAAGGACTGTGGTTCTACCACTCATCATTTTGTGTTGTTAACCTTCAACCTCTAAAATTATTGACCTTTTACTCTTTAAATCCTCTTACATCACCCAATCCACAAACACATTAATTAGTACAGAAAAGTTAGAAATACACTAAAATTTAAAAAGTGAATGAGCATATAAAGGCATTTAGTTCTTGCAAAGCTAACTCATGTGTGAGTACAAACAGTTGCAAAAGCAGACAGTAAATAAATCACTGGACTTTGGAAATTACTTGATTTAGATTTATCATTACCTTGCAATGCATGGAGAAGGTGCCTGGGCAACTTTGGAAGAACTCTGAAAGTGTTCGTTGAGAGTACGAGAATACTTTATTGCTAGATCTTTTTTACAACGAAACATTGCCATGTTCAGAAGGGACTGGCAACGCATGCTGTGAATATAAATGTAAGTTAAAGTGAGGCAGTGCCCAGTAGACATGTCACCACCACAGAAATACAGCCAGCCTACAGTTCACCTACAGTCTAACCAGCACATGAGCCTTCCTCATCGCCATGAGGAATCCCTTAAGAATCTCACTGTAGACCTTCCCTGGTGGCAAAATGGGTTAAAGCACAGTACTGAAAGGGAGCCACAGCCACTTTGTGAGGTCGATCCCCACCCCTGAGGTGACCCAGAGGGCGATGCAGTCCTCTCCTGACCCGCCTGCTGCTCCCTTCAGCAGTGTACTTTGTCAATCTGCCTGTTCTGCTCCCCACTCTGTCTCTGGGGAATATTCTCTGGCACCCCATCTGGTACCTCTGGCCTACACCCAGCTTTTCAAGGTATAAATAATAAATCTTAAAAGAAAAAAAAAAAGAATTTCACTGTGATGTTCATACTACCATCAGAAGTAAATGTTGGCAGGAAAATACAAAAATACATGAACATAAATTAAGTGACAGGCCCCACGCAGCTACTGAGTCATCAGTAAACAGCAGCTGATGACATTCCACAAAAAATACCAATTGGTGAGATGAAGCCCTTGGCCACACATCCTACTAACCTCACTTTTGTTTTAATTTTCATGTTAAGAAAACAAATATAAAATCTATTTTTATGACATCAAAAGATGTAAAAGCAAATGTAATACAATTGAACAAAGAAAAATGTACACACCATAAAACAGCAAATATTTTCTCTTGTGTTGGTGCTGTTGCATCTGAGAAGGATTTCAATGACATTATGAATCTGTAAGAAAATATGAGCATATGAGATTAAGCAAAAGCACACAGAAATCCATGACACAAAGCCTTATGATCTCTGCTTGGCTTTATACTGATTTTTTTCAGGAGATGCGAAGACAGGCGCGCCAATGTAGGAGTGAAAATGAGCCTTACGAGCCGCAGTTCAAGCCACTCACAAAACCGAGAAGACGTGCTTCTCCTCGGGCCTGCCTACTACTTGAAACTGGTAGACTGGCGTCCTCGCTGAGCCCCCTGCTGAAAAGCAGGTAATAAAGAGGAGCCAAAGGGCTCTGATGGCATGGCCAGCCCCTCCCCAAGGCTGGCATTTCACTCACAGCGCCCTTGGCCAGGCCACATGGCTGGACCCCGTTACTGTTTCAGCACTTCACTGGAATGCGAGTTTAGTTCAAAACAAAGTTCCTGTATCAGTAACTTTTCTAAGGCTCACTATTATTAAGCTGTCTTCATAGACGATGCCAAAGGATTACAGCAATAAGGGTGAAGAAAGAGAAGTACTTAAGAGGATGGCAAAATGAGTGGGCACTTACTTGATGAGGTCTACAGTTTCAGAGTACACCGAGTAAGCCGACCTGGACGCCGGGCTCTCTGACTCCATGGCAATCCCGCATTCAATAAAGGACAAGGCAGCCTCCAAGTACTTAAAAGCCTTTGCAACCTTGTCTGTCTGCAGGACAAGGACACAGTCATTGTTAGGGCAAAGACAGGTGTTTATTTAGTTTCTCACCCACATTCTTTACTGTAACTTCTCTCTACTCTCTTAGTTTAGTTACGCATAGGAGTAGATTAAAAGCAAAACAAAACAAAAAAATGTTTAAATAATGAGAGATTCCAGTGCTGAATATATCCAATATCAAGATAAGTTTTAGATAACTGACTGACAAAATAATGAATAGTTTTCTCTTACTCAAAACCTGAAGTTTCTAGCAATAACTTTTAAAGATTTATTTATGCATACAAGAACTGGGGTGCAGACCAGAGGTGCAGGGGTGAGAGGACTCACTAGAAACAGAGTGGGGAGCTGGGGAGCAGAAAGGGCAGATCCAGTGAAACACACTGCTGAGAGGAGCAGCAGGCGTGACAGGAGAGGTCTGCTGGGCCATGTGGGTCAGCTCCCTGGCTGGGGATTGAACTCGTGCTGGTGCAGCTGCAGAAGGCTGAAGACACTGCGCCACCAGGGTGGGCCTGCTAGAAATAACTTTGAACCTACAGTTCTAGCAATAACTTTGCAAAGTTGGGGGGAAAAAAATTAAAAGGACAATTTTTGGCCAAGTCCAAGTTTTTCCATCTGACTCAGGTACTCTGGTACAGAATAGCTTCAGAGCTAGCTCTGCAGAGACTTGTCCTGACCACTTACAGCACCCTGCCTAGTACAATTCAACAAATATTTTGTCCCACAAACGGGGATCTGATAAAAGGGTTTCGGTTCCAGTGGTCCAAAGCCTGTCTCAGAGCAGACACCAGTCTACAACTGGGGTTGACGAGTAACAGGTCAGATGGTGACGCACAAAAGGAACTGACCTGCAGGCTTCTGTAGGATATGGATAGAACACTTGTGGGGAATGAAGCAACCCCAATCTTCTGTGGCGCAAAGCTCTATATATGGTATTAGTGGGGATACAGGTTTAGGGAATACAGTGAGCAATTAAAAGCCCCAGTCTTAGATGTTCAAATACGCAAAGGAAAAACATCTAATTACATTACAGCAGTGATGTAAAGGCACACTTAATTACACATGCAATTAACAAAACCACCACTTTCCAGAAAGTCCAACAGCCACCAGGCAAGGAGAGGTTCATTTTTAAGTATGTTTACTAACAGTGCAATCATCACCTTCACCTTAAAATTTCATCTCCTGGCACAAGTCTATGATTCCCTCAGATTAGCTTCTCAAAGGCTTTAAGATAATTTTGGAATGTAAACAGCATTCCCACCAAAATGTTTTGAAGTGAACACAAACTGATAACTTTTCAATAGCCAGACTCATTTTCCACATTCACGGAATTAATGCCCTGCACCAAGGAAGCGCTCATGCATTCCAGGCAGATCAACTTCCATTAATTTATCCTTGTGACCAGGGGCTTGGTATTTATATTAGCCCAGAGTCCATCTAAATCACTGGAGTGAAATAAAATAATTCACTAAGGATCCCTTACCTGGCTCCTTAAGGTATGAATGATCATGCAGACGCTGGCCAATGCCAGACCCCTCACTCTCCGCCTTCCTGCCTTCCCCTGCCCCACCCCACATTCCCAGAAGAATGTGACTACAAATATTTTATCAGATAACATTCTACCCAAAGAGACAAGACTGACCGTTGATTCTGCTTTGTCCTTCAACTTTTTGGCCTCCTTCATGTGAAAATCTGCTTGTTGTCTGAAAGAAGAGATCAGGTTAGGTCATATGAGTCTAAGATTACTAAGACAACCTCAAAAGCCTAGGAGGGCATAAAAAAGTAGGAGAGAGAGGGCAGACAAAAGAAGAGAAAGGAAGTGAGGAGGAAGAGAGATAAAGAAGAATAAGAAGCAAGTGTTCGACAACTTACTTGTCAAACTTCACTTGAAGCTTCCCTGGTTTAGAGTTGCCATTTGGCAAAGAAGGCACTGGAAAAGGATTTGCAATATCTCCAGAAGATCCCTTAAAAAAAAAAAACACATGATTCAGATTATACTCAAACAATTAAGAGCATCATCCTAACTGTTCCACCTCCTTGATTAGTTCAAAATAGTAGTTTGTAAAAGGGAAAACCAAACACTGCACAAATTCCGTTTGGTCAATCACTTTCCCAATGATTTTACTAGTTACTCCACTAGGGAAGAGAAAATCTATAAAATCAAATGTAGAATTTTCTCATAGTCAACACCTACCCATCCAGGTTAACAGGGAGAGAGGAGCTTCTATTTCGAAAATGGATACATTTTTCCTGTTGTAAATAATAACAAAATTTGCTATAGAACACCCAAACTAAACAATAAACAAGGCACATCTTCTTATGTAAGTTATCTATTAGAAAATTGACAGGAAAATCTATTACAATTTTTGCATCTAAATCACTTTATGAAGAACCGTCACCTCAATTTTCTTTATTATCTTTCACTCTGTAAAAATAGGATTTGAAACACAAATAACTCATTACTGCCATTGAAATTAATTAAAAGTGGTGAACAGTCAGGAAATACCATCAATGGGAACTAATCTGGGTACAGAAAGCAAAGCCACATGACAACAGCCCACTGTCCCGTCATGCTCCCTTACTCACTCTGTGCTCTGCAGAACTCCCAGAGCCCTTCCCCTCTACTCGTCTGTGCTTGGAAGAGGAAGAGTCTTTATGGCTGCTCTTGCTACTATTGGCACTTTTGGGAGGGTCCTGGCCACAGAGACCTGCTTCCCGCTTTGGCCTCTTTTGTGCAGGTTTGGTTGGCTTCTGGGAGGACAAGGGCATAGTTTGCGGAGGGGGCATTTCCTTCTTGGAGGGCTCAGAGGAGGGCCTGGACGGTCTGGAATGAAAAAGCGGACAAGCCCAAGGTAAGGCAAAATGCAAACAGCTTCGTTACTTAGCTAAAGGACAATAGCTACTGGCACAGAAGACAAATACATCAGAGCATGGAATCCAGCTGGAGAAAGACAAAAATCTCATGAACTTTTCAATGCCTTTGAAAAATACAGTAGTTAAGTTAAACTGTATAATCTGTCACTCAGCTTGCAGACTGTCACCTGTACCAGCTGCTCCCCAGGCTTAACCTTCCCAACAGGCAGGCTACCTGGTGGCCACCCTCACCTCTGGTCCTTCCTCTCTCTCTCCCTTTAACTCTGTTGGCTCCTACTGGTGACACTATGCACTTCCTTTTGCCAAGTGATTTTGTGAAGCAATTTCTTGATAAACTGCAGAGCAAGTAAGTAACATGTTACCAAATGAATTGTTAATTCTTACAACATCCTCTGGATGAAAGCAACAAACATAACCCGTCATCCAAGTGTGAGTCACTGCAGAAAGCATTCACCTCTGCCACGTCAAGACCCAGTGCCTAATCTCTATACTCACTTTGACTTAGAAGATTCTTTGTAGGAGGATGAAGATGATGACTGTGATTTGATTTCTTTCTCCAGTCTGACTTTCTTGTTATCATGGTCTCTTTCTGCTTCACCCTATTATAGTGCAACAAAATATTTATAAAAATAACTGTAGAGAAACATGGCAAAGGCAATGATATTGACTAGACTTTTGGGGGGCATCTGTAGTCTCCATGGCAACCTAGTAGCCGCACTTGCGGTAAGGAAGAGAAGACAATCCAGACTTGATGTGATTTTTATTGAGATAGATTTTTACATGAGGAAGGACTATTTTTCATACCCATGAAAAGGAAGTTGTCTGAATAATACACTGACAAGATTAAATAGATTTTAATGTAGCATTAGTGTTTTCCTAAGCATAAAAGAATCAATATAGCATATATATACACAACAAATAACAACAAATGATTTTATAAGTTCCTCCTTCTTTCAAAAGAACCATCCACTTATAACTAACAATTTGTTTGCATAAAATCAGGAGCATTTAAATCTTACTTCTAATGAAAAGCAAATATGTTGTTGAAAAAGAAATAGGCTACAAAAAAATCTGCTATAAATCTTATATGCAAGGATGAGAAAGACAACAAAATAAAAATGGTTGTTTTCGATTTCTGTTAATTTTTCTTTTCTATTTTTTAAAAAAAAAGTTTGCCTTTATTATCTCTGCATTCATACTTACTAGTTTTCAAAAAAAAGACAGAAAATGTAGGATTTTGAATATAATTTTAGTGAGGGAGTTTTAGTGCTAAGAACAGAGATATTTAACAATACAGGAATTAGGCACCCCAAAAGAATCCAGTGAAATCTAAGGTGAATACCCATGATCATTAAGAGAACAAAGAATTCTTCATTGCTAAAGTCTGCTTCATGTTTTTGTGCTCGCTGGTTAACAAGTGTACCCAATTTGCAAAAAGTCTAACATGTCCAATATTTGTTCAACTGTGCACCCCAAATTCTGGGTGCCCCCCCTTCCCAATCTGATGAGAGACAGCAGCACCAGGGAAGGAAGGAGGAGCAATGACTCTCCAGCAATGACAGTGAAGTGATCAGTGGGAGTCCTACAATTAACTTTGATGTGTGTTTAGAACGAAACTCCTCCGACTGTCAGTTCACCCCAGAGAGAAATCTGGGACACCACAAGTCAACCGAGGACAATCCCTTAAAAAACCTGAAACCCTCTTAAAGGAAAACCATTCTTCAAATTAACTGCGGGGAGCCCCAGTTTTCACCACCATTTCCTCCCTTGTTCCTTGATCCTGCCCCACACCCTGCAAAAAAAAAAAAAAAAGAAAGAAAAGAAAAAGAATAAACATGACACTGAAACTCAAGCTCTGCCAGACACTAATAAGCAGCCTTGCTCAAAGGGAGAGGAAACAACAGCTAAACCTGTCCTTCCTTCTCTGAGCACTCAAACTGAAGTACAGGAGTGTGCCCTTCCAGCTAGCTCTCAAAAACCCCTCTGGGAAAACATTTCCTGTGTAAAAATGGATTATTCAAGGTGGCTGATAAAGATACTAATTTTTAATCTCTTGGCATGTGAACAAGTGAGAACGTTAAGAAGGGAACATGTGGCTAGAGAATTTAAACCCAGAAGAATACTGAGGTCGTCAGCCCTCCCCTGCACATTCCTTCTTGCCTGGTGGCCACACATCTGGGAAGCGTGTGAACACACTTGGTCCAAAGTGACAAGTACCCTCAAAGACTCAGTGCAAATGGGGGAAATTTAATAATTTTTATACTGAGTAAATGTTGTAGTGATATCTTCAATATTACAGATCGAATAAATTATTCAATTTATTTTCACTGGCCTTCTTTTCTTCCCCTTCCAATATGGTTTTTTTTAAAGATTTATTCATGCATACAGAACTGGGGGATAAGTCAGAGGTGCAGAGGAGTGGGGATGAGAAGATTCACCAGAGACAGAATGGAGAGCATTCTTTTGTACAAAGTACACGGCTGAGGGGAGCAGTAGGTGGTGAGTCAGGAGATGTCTGCTTTGCCATGTGGGTCAGCTCCTTGGTCAAGGATCCAACTCTTGCTTCAGTGGCTGTGATAGCTTCAGAGTGCTGTTCTTTAACCCACTGCGCCACGAGGGAGGGCCCTTCTTCCACTATTTTTTAATGTGTACTAACATTACCAATGTGACTCACATTCTATTCCCACTAACACTGCTCACTCCATACTTTGTTAATCTGCAAAATGGCCTCTCAATTAGTCAATACAAAGAAAGAAGTTGTTCAAGTTAGATAAGATAAAAACACAATAGCTGCTCAGAAATATAACCATTCAGCACTAATGGCCAGAGAGAATGTATCCTGAGGGATTAATAAAGAGATGGGATGTGTAATAAACACACATCCTAGAAGTACAACTGAAATGCAAACAGCAGTTTCCCCTATGGCACTCAACGCACACCAGCAGCAAAATTCAGTTCCGCAGAAATGAAATGCACTGGTGTATGCCAGGTAAAGTCTGCTGGGATTTTGCACGGCATGGAGATCTTCAACCAACAATTTAAAATGGTGACACTTAAGAGACAGTTGATACTGTCAGGAAAGAAAGAATGAATTGAAAATTGCTGGGTTAAAAGATCCCCTACTACTGGGGGGGAGGAATGTTGGGAGGTAAGAGTATCTTCCTCATCGATTAAGAACTTAGTGTGGCCCTCCCTGGTGG